TCAGACATGGGAGAAGCTTCTAGCGGCTTCTCACAGAAGTCACCCGTGTACTCCCCTCCGCTACCAAAACCTTGCCACACAAACCTATTACACATGCAAACTTAATTGATGTGATTATTTCTGTTATCTTCAGCAGAGATTAGCTACAGTGTTTTGCTAAGAATGTTTGCACAATAACCATTGATGCTGTGGTCAGATAGGCAAAAATGTTTATTTGGTGAGAAGACATTCTGGTTTTCATCTGAAATAAGAACAGAGAAAACAGCTAATTTGTTTTAGATAAATAACTGTCCCTATGTTGTTTCTTTTGGCAATCAGTGCACAGATTGCACAGCATCTTTGTGCAGATTTGAACTTTGATGAAAAGGTCCTGCTGTAGGTGACCTATTGAAACAAGGAGATAGGAGGGAAAGAAGAGACTAATGTCCTGCTTCAGACCTATATCAATGTGGCCAGGTTCTCTTTTTTGACAAATTATGTAGCACTCCACCAAAAATACATTTAAAACTACAGAGTCTATTTTTGCTTGGTATTTCTTACAGCTCTCAGCCAAGAAGTATGGCATATCCTTTTGGATATGTAAAGTATTTGAGAAATACAAGCTTGTTATTGGGAAGATAAGTCACAGGTCATTTTGTGAAAGTAAAAATTGTTGCAGGCAGCTCTTAATATCTAAAGCATAAGTAGAGAAATGAGTGAACAGTGGCCCAGCAAATATTAAATATGTTTAACATTTTGGTTTTTATTGCAATGTTTTTCAGTATGTTTGCTTTCAAAAGGTATTACAGAGCCTATATACTTTCAACGTACAAAGGAACTCTGTGACACTGGGTACTGCAAGTGAGGTATTGAGGATGTTAGCCTTAAATGTTAGTGATGATTTTGAGCCTGAAAATTACCTGCTGAAGTATTCTTGTCCATGTAAGAATAGTAATGTGTGTCTCTTCTTACCCTTGTCATTTTTAAGGTTTGAATATTCCACTGCACTGTCAAAATATACCTCAGAAATCAATAGCATAAGCTAAAACATCAGATAGCTTAGCTGCAGATGGTTGGTTAGGGAGATGACACTCCATCTATTCCAGAAAGTGTAGCTTTGGGGTGGATAGATGACTGTTATCCTGACTTCTGCCTCCTGCATGGCACACTTCTGGGATAGAATTGATACTAAGTATGATCAAAGAGCTCCTGCTCTGATCAGCACTTGGTTTACATATTTGCATCATAAAGACAGTCTTAGTGGTCTACAAAGAGAATATGATCCACTTGGTGCTATTGTATTTAAGTTCCTCTGCATACCCTTGGCAGAGGAGTGTGACTAGTACTCTGTGGTGAAATTAATATTCAAATGTGATATAAAATTTCAGTCTGTGGAGAAGTCCAAATTTATCATGGTTTGTTTTGTGTGCATCTGTTTCAGTGGGGTGCTCTGTATTGTTTGTATGGTTATCTGCATGTACAGCATACAAAAAAAATTAACACAATCTATATGTATATTGGTACAGGTTGCTGCATTGAAGTACATACCGTCAGTTCTTCATGATGTTGAAATGGTCTTTGATGCCAGGTTACTGAGGTGAGCTGCTTTTGAACATTTAGTAGGTGTATTACATGGTGTATACAATGTAATGCTGCTGTAAACAATAAATTGTTATTGATTAGTTTAAGTAAAAAAAGCTGTGCCACTTTGTACTGATCAAGACAATGGTGGAACTCTGGGCACACGTTTTTAATAGGGAGTTCTCATCTTACATAATGACAGAATTCATTATGAAGGCCAAATACTTGAGCAGTAACTTATTGAATAACATGAGCAAGTAGAACAATCTGTCTCTTTATTTTTTTTCTTCTCTTCTTCTCTCCCTGCTGCCCGCCCCCCCCAGAATAAACCCTATTGTAGAAAATGAAATCTGATTTTAGCAGTTTGAAACAATCTGTCTTTATTTGTCAGGTGAAGATAAATTGCCTCTACCACACACAAAAACATCTTTATTCCATTGAAAACTATGGAAAGTTGTAAACATTTGTAAACATGACCAAAATTTAGTACATCCTCATCTTGTTTCTCTTGAAAGCTTTTTCTAACCTGCTACTGATCTCTTGTTTGTGATATGGTAAATAGATTTAAGTCTTAAAAAGAAATAAATGTTGAGAAATATATGCTCTTTCGCTCTCTCTGTCTTTATTAACACGTGATGAATTAATCTGTACAGTGTTTATGACACTTTTCCTTTACATGCAGCCAACTACTATATGAATTTTACACTTGCATTCCACCAGTGAAACTGCAGAAGCAGAAAGTGCAGTCCATGAAGGAAATAGTACGCAGCAACCTTTTTAAAAAGCAAGGTAAATATAAAATGCCTTTAAGGCTTAAAATAAATAGGTGTGAAAATGTTGACTAACTTATGGTTTGTGCAATTCATGTTTGCAATTGAGTAAAACTAATACTGAGAGGTGAATGCCAGAAGTCTGACCTCTGCAGTGGCTTCACCTCTTTCTACAAGGTGGCTATTGTGCAAAGCATGATTTCTAGCCTGGAACAAGGAACAGGTGGGTCTCAGAAGAACAGTTTTTGTGTTTTTCCTATGCTCTTATAGTTAGAGGGATGGAGCTATATATATATCCTTTTAACCCATTTGCAAGCTTTGTAGTGAAATAGGAATATGAAGTGAAGCCTTGTGAACACAACTTATGTTATATAAGGCCTCTACCTGGGCAGAGAGATAAAAAGGCTGATTGTGCTGCAATGCAGCATCTCCATTTATAGGAATTATGATGTTTCTTAACCTTTATCAGAACTTAGTGTCTTTCTCCGCTCTTAGAACAGGAGTGATAAATGGTACTGAAATGTCTTTATTGGTCTTGTGCTTAGTTTTCCTTCATATTATCACAGAAAGGGATTTTTTGTTGAAGGAGTTCTAGCAGAGAAGCCCGGTTTAACATGATTGATTTCATCTTCGCTGTTAAGTGTTCTGCTTCCTGTCTTGTGGACTGGATGGCTTGCTTCTCTTCAGCATCTTACTGCTATGTAGAAGAACTCCAGAATTTTGAAAGGCAGATGAGCTATTCAGATGGACGACAACTTTGTCAGAATTTCAGTTTCTGACAAATTATAGATAGTGATTCTAGGAACTTGACAGTACAACAGTGGTAGTAAATAGTACTGAGCATGAGTAGAGTGAGAGAGGATTGCTCTGCTCATCTCCTCCCTCTCTGTTGCCAGAAGAGTGATGCAGTTCTAACTAGCTAGGACAGATGAAAAAAAATTGACATTATTTTAAGAATTGTATCTTAAATATATGGAAATGTATATTGTAAGCTATAACAATAATTAGCTGTGTCTGTTATGTTTTGAGACCATTATACACTTCCTGGTCAAAATCAAGAAAATAATGTAGTTGGTTTTATTGTTTTGATTAAATTAGATAGTATTTTAATCTATGTTTATGTTAATGATTTAATGGTCATCAGCTGTGATTTTTTTAAACTACGTGTAAGACTCAAGGTTGCTGGAATCAGTGAACTTACATAGCTATAGCTTGGGTATCTGCAGGCGCAGATCCAATTAGTTGATTTTCAAACAGATCTAATTCCATATTCACAATTTTTTCCAGTAGCTTACTGTATTTCTATTTTACAAGTACAGTCTGATATATCATTGCATTACTGGTTGCTTTTGCTGCTGCTGCTTCTAAGGTTAGAAGTCCCAGACTTAGTTTTATCTGCACTTCTTGTGGCAAGTAGCATTTAGATCACAAGGGTCCTCTCACAAAACTAAAAGACTTTTGGGTTAAAATAATGCACTCTTGAACTCTTGATCTTACTAGAATTCAGTCAGTTACCTTGACTGTGTGATAGTATGATGCATTAGTTGCCGGTCAAATACTATTTTTCAGGAAGTAAAACTCATCTTTTTATCATTCTGTCTCAGAATTTTAGAAGACAGAGAATAAGAGCAGGCACTGCTGTGGAATAACAATGGTTGGATATTTTTTCTTCAAAGAAACTTATCTCATTGAAACATGTTTGTTATTTGTTCATGTATCAGGTGTGTTGGTCAGGACAACAGATCCCATGCTCTTATAATAAACAATAAAGCTCTAATAAATCTCCATAAGGAAAATAGTTGAGCATACAATAAACTGTGTACTTCACAGTTCCATTGACTTGCATCTTTCTGCTCTTAGTGTATTATCCCACAGCTCCTTTCTTCCATATCTATATATGCTCCAGAGGAGAAAAGAGTGGGTTTTTGGATTTCCAAAAATAAGTGATTCTTGTTTCATGTGTTTAACAGGCCTTTGCTTTAGCTACAGTCTGTTAATGCAAAATGTTTTGTAAAGCTTTTACTGCTTGCAGATAAATAATAATAGACAGCTGCCTGCTTGTAAATGCAGCTTGTCTGATGTCTTGAAATAGATAGCTGGTATATTATGGAAAATGTCTGCCTCAGAATATGTTGTGAATCATAAAAAGAGTATATGTTTTCTGTTTCTATATTTTTAAGGTAATAATGAATAAGAAATTTTGCTAAGAGGATTTCTAATTCTGAGGTGCTTTTATGGAAACAACAAATGGTACTTTTTATATACTGCTGACCAGATAATCAATGCATCTGAATTTTTCCCAGACAGATAGTGGATTCACTTAGTCTTAAATTTGTAAATTAAAAAAATAATGTCCAAACCATTCCTGTGCTATTTTCTGCTAATGTCAAACACTTGACAGCAAAACCAAGCAGCTAAGACCATAAACACATCATTATTTACTACTTAACACATTTGCCAACAAATGTCTGTCTGCTTTACATTGGATCATGTATGTCTGAATGGTTCATTGTGATCCAAACTTGCACTAGTAATTGACAGTTAAAGTGTATGCACTTAATAATATGTAGAAACTAACAACTCATTTACATGCTTATGGTGATTACATGTGCAAGATCTATCTTTAAAATGTTTTTACTGTAATACTTTGTATATAATTATTATATAATACTTAGATGCTGTTATTTTCAGAGGAGTCATGGCAAATAATTGATCTTTTTTTAAGTATTAGTTTAAAGCAATCATGGTCCTCTGAAGAAGCGGTTGCCCAAATTACAGAAATCAAGTGGATATAATTTAAAAATAAAGCTAATACATGCACAGTTTGTTTTAGCTTTATCATGGCTTATTGTTTTTAGCAATATCATGACAGAAGAGAATATTCTTGCTAACTAGAGAATATTCTTTTAAAGATTTTGTACTTCAGTATTTTGATGCAGTGACAGAATAAAGCTGCTTATTGCTGTTATTGTAGAGTTTAAAATTTATACATACCTGAATCTGACAATTCCCCCCTCACCCCACCTTTTTTTTTGTAGGGCAGGCAGGCATACCTTTTCACTGTCCTCAGTGAAACTCAGTCAGGGTCAAATAGACTCTTGGAAGTATAGTTTCCTTTCATGAGACCATTCCATGACGAAGTTGTCATTCCTCTAACACTTAGTATGGCAAGCTAACAATGTTACTGTTGCCTCAGAGGTGTTATCCAAGTATCTGTTAGGGCATATAATCACTGTTTCTCTTTTGCGTGATGATCTTTATAACTTTCCTTTCACCCAACCTGCCCTTACATTGCTAATGGCAGAAAATCAGCCTTGGGATAATTGCAGGGTGTTTTATATCTAACCGATATTTTATTACTATTTGCATTTGTGTTTTGTTTTCATATTGCTTGGATTTAACCTTCAAGTTGTAATTACTAAAAGGAAAAGTCCACAACATGTTTTAAGTGCAGCCACTGAAAAATGTGAAAAGACCATACACAATTAAGTATCTCTGATATTATAGTAGTATGAAAAAGTTTCTGTACTATGCTATTATAATATTGTGCACAGAAAATAGCAAACAAGTCCTTTTTCTTGTACAGTGCTGTGGTTTAAAATAGAAACTTCCAAGGACACTTTTATTGCTTTACATTAAATACAGTTGATTCTAAAATTAATCGGGTAGAGAACGAACTGTGTTTGCAGGGTGTAGACAATACCTGATTCATTACTCCAAGCAATGATGTGGAAGGTAATTTATAAGAATGAAAGCATATGTAGTGTATCACAAGATAGGATGCAGCGTTGATAATTAAGGTAAGACTGCCAACAGTATCATTAACTAAAGTTCTCATTTATCTAGAAGAGGTAGTATTTTTTTCTGCCATGAATATGGCATATATTTAACTACATTGCTAATTACAATGAAATCTATTAATTTGTGCATGTTTCAGAGTATCCATTCTTCCTCCAGGCTTTAGCATTAATCTGTTTCCATGTAGTTCTCTACCATTCCAGTTCAGTTCATTCACTTCCATACCCAATGGTATTGTCTTTATAATTTTATTGGATTTCATATATTGGTATTTCTTTACCCGTTGATGTTCACAGCATTTTCTAAGGAAGTAGAATTGTGAAAATGTGTTTTCAAAAAAAAATTGTAAAAAGCCAGTGAAATTTGTTTTCATTAAACAAGTTACATGTGAATCTGAAGCTGAAAGCCTGGAGTTTAAGCTGAATTTATTGGTATGTATTCCCAGGCATTCAAAAGTTTTCACTGTAGACTGTCATGGAGTAGAGTGCTTTCATCAGATTTCATGGTTGTGTTGACTGTTACTGTAATTGATCTTCAGAAGCCCGACAGTGCTACAACACTTTTACAAGCCTTTAAATTACATTGACAGATTTTTTTTGCTGAGGCATCGATTTCTTGTTCCCACTCTGTAACTGTAATACAGCTTAGAGGGGTTATGGCGGTTCAGGTGTTTGAGTGGGTGAATGTGGGAAGGCTGATGCTTATAACTGCTTGTGCACTTTTGCTGTAATGTTTAGGAACATTCTAACCAGGTATGTGAGCACATGCACAGACATTTATCCAGTTTTATTTTCAGACAATATTATGTCCTCCTTGATCAGAGGACAAGAAATCTCCTTAAACTTAATTTTTGACATTTTCCTTCTAGATCACTTGATAATTCATTATTTAAAAATATCAGAGGGAAAGAAATGGTCGTCTTCCATATAAGCACCCCTAATGGGATTTCAAAATCTCATTTATGATGTAAGAAGCTGTCTCCTGTCATATATCTTTCCCTTTGTACAGTGGGATGTAATGGATTATTCTCTCCCTCTTGTGAAATTCTCTGTCAGACCTGCCGAAGAAAAGTTTTGTTTGAATTGTCTCATTTCTATGTAAAGCTACTTTTGATGCATCGCTGTTGGTTTTGGTTTGGGGTTTTTTGGGGGGGGTGGGGGTGTGGTGGGTGTGGGTTGTTGTTTTTTTTTTTTCTTTTAGGGAACTTATTGCCAAAATTTG